AAGCCATAGAATCTCAAGCAGATGATCGGTCTTGCTATAAAAGTATAGCTCATTCCATCTCCTTGGAAGAATTAAAGCCGTCCTTGCACATCGTGAAGAACAGGAAAACAGGTGGTCCTGATGACATTAACATACGACTTCTAAAATACTCAGTAACACTATATAGACTTAGGCTGCTTCATCAGTATAATGCAAGCTTGAGACGATATAAGATAGCTAGAAAACATCAGAGGTAATATTTATGTTTTAAAAAGGTGAAAGAAACATGTGTGGAGATTACCGAGGTATTAGCCTTATGAATAATTTCTTATGCCTATTTGCATAATCAATGCTCAACTGGAAATTATTAGAGACGGCAAATTACTAGAACAGTCAAGATTTAGGAGAGGACGGTCATATAATGAAAACATTTTAGTATTAAAATAATCTTAGAAAAAAACGAGAAGTCGATGTAGAAACGCATAAAGCCTTTATAGATTCTGAAAAATTTTTGAGTGTCGACCGACAAAAACTACGTATAAAATATTTTTTCACACACAAATAATTTTACGATGCAATAGTAGAATATTAGATTAGATTTATTAATAAATCTGCAATTAAGCGTGAGAACTTAACATTAAAGAACTTAACAACTTTAAAAAATCTACAAACTTTACAAATTTACGTGAATATTTCACCGTGCAATCTTTCATAGAACTTCACTTCACCACACTTCACTTCACCGCAGTGCAAAAGAGCGAGTTGTAATGTCTTTCTTACACACTCTTTCTCTCAGTTTTAGAACGACACTGAACTTCACACCACTGCACATAATAATAATAATAATAATAATAATAATAATAATAATAATACTTAATTACACGAAAGACATAGTTAATTACACTGAATTTCAGGAAAGAAATAGATACGAGTCGCTTAACACAGACTAAGGTAGGAAGAGAAATGCATAAGTGGGAAATGAACCTTATTAAAGTAAAATTGCAAAGTAAGCTATGTAAAAATTGTTGTAAAAATAGAGCAGAAGTGAACTAATTGGAAATACTCGTGTTCAGGCGGCTAAATAGTCGAAGAAAAGTTGGGAGAGCATTTTGATGGAAATGGCAATGGCACATCGCTTCTTCTACCTCAGTAGTTTTTGTCAGACAAGAGTGTTCTGGAAATGAGATGACACACAATTGACAAGGATTGTTACTTGGAGAAAGAATTAACGAGTATTGGAGAAGTTATTACAGTCCTGTCCAAACGAAAACTAACCCTTTCCTTACGAATTCCGTGGCATTTAGCTACGTGTTTCTACTACATCCAGTGCCTGACACACTCTGGGTCAAACCTTGAAGACGTTCAAAACGCTTTTACTCAGCTTTCCGCATAAGCTTGTAACAAGGCGAGCCGGCGTCTGCGATAGAAAACTCCTGGTGTTTCGGCAATGCCAATTTTCAGCGGGAATTTTTAGCTCTCCAGGAGCTGGTGCGCTCTTTCGGTGACGCTCCGAACTAATAGAAAGAAGTTGATAATCGACTACAAGGACTTTGCATGAAGAAATGAATCTTTGGTCGGCAGAGAAAAAATTCGCGCGGCGTTTTGATCTCGGAGGCGCCAAGTTTAAAATGTATAATCTTTTCCTTTGAAAAGCCTTCAAAGAACATCAAACGCCCTATTAAAGAAGACAAGGCGCCAAATTTGAAGTAATTTGGCTGGCAATGTATCAACAACTAGATAAACTAAAGTGAACTAAGTGTAATAAATGTAAAGGTAAAGTAAAGGTAAGGTGTAAGGAATGATTATTAATTATTATTGTAATTAATATTATTATTATTATTATTGTCTTACATTATTCACAGTATCTACTGGTCGGTATGTCCACCACACACAGGTATGATGACCAGGTGTGTGGTTGCTTTACAGAAGGTTCAGATGGCTTCTGACAATACGGCATGTATTCAAAATTACTGTCTTTTGCATATTATATACATTCCTGGTATCCAAGTGAAGACACTCCAGTGCCCGAAGTGCCATTTTCGGGATCACTCCCGTAGCTGATATTATTATAGGCACAGTTGTCACTTTACTGAAGTTCCACTGAGTTGCGATTATTATTATTATTATTATTATTATTATTATTATTATTATTATTATTATATGAAATTAGTTACCACTGATTGATGACCAATTTCGTTTTAAATTAAGCTATCTTTACCTATATCTTTGCTCGCAGGAGTGGCCGCTGGTGGTCAGAATATGGGGAGTTCTGAGCATGTTTCGCTCGCTGCACGTCTTCATCGACATATACCTCATCGTCATCACGTTTATTCTGGTGAAGGACGCGGAAGCGTACCTCATTCCCAACTACATAGCGATGGCTGTTCTAAGTAAGTGGAAGTTATGAGGGATGATGATGAAACAACCTCTGCTGTATTTTTATCTGTTTATTTATAGACGCATTAACTTCGAGGTCATTCGCGACGTTTTTGGTTTTTAACGTGGGGCCATCTGTAAGAGCAGTCGGTTGTCAAGAGGACCGCCAGGTAGCATCTCCGCGTACGCGCATCCTATCACGCGCTCCTGCGTCACTACCCACCATCCAGAGCTGGGAAGAAATTATGAAAGTGGTACGGTTTAGGACAATTCACAGGGGTTGACGTTGCTCCTGTGAAGCAGCCAAGCTCGTTTTGTCGGAACATATTTTTCATGATATTGTTTGGGAATCGCAATTCTTGGTGAATGTCAAGCGACTTTCTTTCTGAGCCTCGAGTTGACTCCCTGTTCTATATTATTTCAGTAGTAGAGACACGTTTTGCTGCTCTCACACGCAATCAGTATTTGTATATTAAGTATCTTGAGGGAAAAAATTTACGGAGGCGTTAAGATATCCACTTGACCTTTTAAAATATGAAGGATTTTTTAAAAAGAAAACTCATCTATATATATTCATGTCAAATGCAACCCGCAACATGAAGGCAGCATTGTATAAATCTATAAAGTTATAGTATAGCTTAAATACGAAGTGTTAAAGATGCGACATTCACACTGTAATCTCCAGGATGAGAACTTCTTAGGCATTCTATTACATGCGAATGCTGGTTTGGCACTTGTCGATTCTACCCTACCTGTTCAGAGACGTGCAGAATCTGTAACTGTATGCAAATTAAACTATGTAATTACTTCATATTCTATGTGATGTAATTGCACAGGTGTACCTCTATATTCGGTAATAAAGTTATGTCGGTGACTAACTTATCATTACATTGCTGCTATTCATGCGACAAAGACGGTCGAATCGGCATTGAATTCTGAAGCATGTTGCCATCGTGCTATTAGCCCATATTTTTTAAATGCTCAGTGCAATTACGAAAGGAAATTTGAAGAATCAGTTTTGGCTTTGGATAAATCGCACCGGGGCATAAATTTTATATTAAAGATGAATCCAATACGATATACAGATCGAAAATCGAACACCTTTTTTCCAGATATTATTGGTAATACATTCCCCTTTGATAGTGCTGCGATCTATTGAATGTTCCTTCAAGTATTCTGCTGTATATTTAATATTAATTCCATAGACACATAAATATTTATTTAAAAAAAGGTTCAGTAATGAATTTTTCCTTCTTTTTTTCTGCGCATTTTCAAGTTCCTCTGCCGTATGCAGTATGCATCATCTTCAGTTTTGCACATTCCATAAAGAAGTGAGATCAGATACAAAGATACGTAAGCAACAGATGAATAGCAGGAGACCGGCAACTGCTCGGAGATGACAAAATCTGAAGAATAAAACAACAAGAGATCTCGCGTACGACGTACGAACAGAAGCACTCCCCGGGCAAAAAACTGGAAGACTTTAAGAAAGAGGAAGCCATCAGCCCCTTCAGAGGTGTGTCATGCAACATCCATCTGCAGATCACGAATCACTAATCAATCAGTCGAGCCAGATCAGCTAGGAAATTTTACCCTATTTATTATTGACCCTCTTGATAATTTCATTGGTCCCATGGGAATTTGTATTAACTTCGTTGGATTCGTTGGATCTGTATTAACGTCGTTGGAACTGCCCCTGATTTAAGAGAAGTTTCTTATTTGAATTCTATTCCTTCGGGAATCGAATCTTTTCTTGCGATTCAATATCAGGATCTATGATAGTGGAAAGATATTAGTGAGCTCTTGTCCATCATATCCGACTTCAGGCAATGAGCTTCATATACTAGAATTGTACACAAAAGAAGCATTATTTGCAGTCACATACTAACTTTATCATTTTGTTGATGACATGAAGTCAATGAAACAAAGATAAGAAAAATTAAGTTTCTTTTATTTATTGCATCTTGTACTGCAAGCCTTCGTGTTAATTTTCGGTCGCCGTCGTTAAAAATTGTCACATTCAAAATGTTTCTCAACACTTCTTTCCCTCCCTCTAACGGCGGTCAGTGTCTGGCCTGGCTTTTCAAACGCAGTGTTACCTACGCAACTTTTCTTGGACGATGGATTGAAGAAATGCGGGTAGTGTGGGAGTATTAGTTACGAAATCGGCCACTAGATTTTATGAAGCAATGGCCATCTCTGGAGAATCAGTCATGCCTTCGAACGTTCTCAATAATTTGCCTTCTAACTTTCTCAGGAGATCGAGGTATCTCTTGAGATGGATCTTCACCTGCTTCGGTCATTTCTGTAGATTTTTGGGAGAAAATAACGGACAGACATTCTTGTCCTGAACAGAAAATAGTTTCTATTTTGCGCCTCTGAAGATGTGTTTGAAATGTCATCAGTGATAGCTGCTAGATTTTGTCTTCAACTGTTTATTGTGCCAGAGAGAAGAAAGCGAGGTCATCGTTCAAGAAAAGTTGCGCGAGTAAATGTGTGTCATAGTCACGTGGTTCGTGACGTATCCGGTGCTGCAATAAACATGCGAAAGTCCGTGCTTCGGAGTAAATCACCCATGTTTTACATCACGGTATCTATTGCCACTTTTCGGCTGTTGTGCAAGACCGGAATCGATTCTTTTACAGGAATCGACTGTCCCCAGACACAGGAGCAGAGACTTGCTAAGACGCGCTTCCAGCGTCTCCCGACAGAGCGCACACGGGAGCCAGTGCCAGCGGCGGGCGACGACTCGGAGACACGCGACCCCCTCGCCGGAGAGGAAGAGTATAACTGCAAAGGCTCGGCGCTGGGGGCCGTTTCATTCCTTCGTTTTCCAATATTCCCTTCCCACGCCTCTGTGACATTTACCTGCCTCTTTTGTGTTAATATTTTATTTTTTTACATTTTAACTGGTTACGTTTTTTCTAATATTTTGTTTTTATTTTTGTGTTCAAAATATCCCCCAAAAATTCGACAAAAAGGAACAAAAATAAATTATTTTTTACTCGACATACAGTGGCCTTCTCAGGGCTAGATTAGGAATGTTTCAGTATTACGATCGAAAAGTTGGCAACTGTGCCTAGAAAGCGGTGTCGTCGTCAAAGCCAAGAAGGTTTGGAATCCGGTTTCAGAAATTCAGGCTTTAATTTATTACTCATTTAGTTTGGGGAATGAGGGCCACTTTTTGTTTTTTCGATATGAATCACTACAAATTTTTCCTATGAACAAGTATGTGATTATATACCACACGTTAGGTATTAAGCTTCACAACAAAAAAATCACCACAATAAATAATTAAAAATTCACTAAAATCTTCTAAAATATTGCATTTGATCCCCATAACCCTTACATGTTAGTTACTAAGGAAATATGAAACAAAATGAAGACATTAGTTCTTTAAACAGTATTTTGTTTATAATAATTGCACGAGTCCAAAAAGATGTGACTCACCAGGTTGTCCGAGATTAGCAGCACTGGGTTCTGTGCAGTTGGTGAAGTATGGCTTTTAAAGTGTTTGATCCATTGTTTGAATTCTACATCTGTTCAGCAATTCTTGCTACATGTGTAAATACCACCAGGGAGCAATTTAAATAGGCTGAAGTGAAATGAGGTCACATTGCCATGCTCGATGCAGAGCAATAGTTAATGTTTATAAATAAAAATGTTTATAAACAAAGATCGAAATGCCAAGAGGTCAGAGGTCAATTTTAATAATAAAATATGTACATAATGTTCGTGTTCGTAGACGCTTATTCTACCATGCGAATGAGCCTTCGGAACGAAACGAAACGAATCATAAGAAAACGATCTCGAATTTAACTACTAGAAGATTATGAGCACATGATTGTAGAAAGCCGCAAACTAATGCTACGCCACAATTGACATATGACAATGTAACGCTACAATTGTCAGTAACAGTATTGTAATATGTAGATATAACGGACAAAAGCTGGTGGTCAAATTATTATAAAAAACTTGCAATTCAATGTTTTAAGGAAATAATGAACCCTTCTTGATTTCTACCTGTAATCAGTTCATTTTGAAAGTTCTATACTAAGTTACTTTTCAGTTTGTAATTTTATAGGACTCGTTTCAAACACTTTCAAACAGCTCAAGCCCCATCTCACTCCATTTTTTTCAAGCGAACCGTCCTACAAGAAACCATTGTCGATCAGTGCGAAGGCCAAATATATAAAGAATCCTTCAATATAAGAGTGGCGAAATTCCGGACTTTTAGTATTATACTGTGTGTTGGAAGACAAGAAATGAAGATCAGTAGAACTCATTACATTTCTAAGCCATCAAATTGTGTAAAAAGTTGTTAATAAATGCATTCTTTTTAAAATTAGTTAATTTGTTTTTCGTTTGACAATAATTGAGTGGAAAAACAATATAACTTCAAATTGTATTTTTGGCTGTACAGCGTCTTAGGTTGGATGTAATGAAACTTGTAGAGGGAGTCATTCTTACGACATCTTCATCCCTTTGGTTGTTGTAAAATGAAAACGTTTTTCCCAAAACATATTTTTACGTTTTTCTCAAAGCTCGGATTTTGGATTTTGAAGTACTTTTTCTCCACTCACTGATTCAGTTGCAACCTACTTATTAGAGATCTTTCAAGCCTAGGATGCCTAGTTCTAGCGGTATTCTAAGAGCACATACTTTCTCGTGTTATTGGCAACAGCTACGTAATATTGAAATATTGCATATCCTGCGCTACTAACACCTCAGATATTACTTGAAAAAGTTCAATTCAAACAGAGCGCAAGTAATGCATATTTGTTTTCATTTCGACCTGTAAGAGCAGCAATAATTTCTTACTTTGTCAAATGGAACAAGCAAGAATACACTTAACTATTGCAATATTTGCAGCATATTATACAGAAACGCAGCGTAGCATTGTCAAAATTATGGGCATTGGCTTGGCGAATAATATCAATTCTTGAATAAACGCTTATTTCCATCAGTATTCTGATTTCAACTTATTTGTCGGTTATTATTATTATTATTATTATTATTATTATTATTATTATTATTATTATTATTATTATCATCATTATTAACAATGGTATATCATACACAATTGATAAATAACTCTAATACTAATACACTAATTAAGTAAGAAATATTCTGAGATATGTAATATTAACTTTATTAATTAATTTAAGTATTGACACCGCCTCAAACGAAGGGATGGAAAACAAAACTTGAAAGTAGTATATTCGTTAGATTGACCATGATAAAGTATCCTTTAAAATAGTTAAAAGGAAAGTAAAATTACGGTCGAAAAGAAGAAAAATTAGCTCTTACCGGCGGAATGTTTGAATAAAAGAAGTTTAAACTACTACAGGCTCTTGCGGAAATCTTTTGCAGGCGTATGTTTCTTGACGTCATTGAAGAAGTTGTACAGTTAATGTAGCTTTTCTTTTATTCAATACGCAGTAAATGTTTTTATGAATCAAATGATATAAAATGTAACATATCTCACTGGGTAATCTGAGGTGTAATTTATAAAAAAATGCTTGAAAATTAATCGCAAACGGAAGTACTAGCCTAGATGTTACGCCATCTTAATTTTGCTATTAGCACTTTCTCTTAGGGCAAGAGAGAAAACCGCGACAAAAATATAGATTATCAAATAGGTTTCGAATCAATTCTAAAAGGTTTATTTACAAATATTAGAACGACTAAATAAAACAGCTATATCGTATCACTGCCACAATCTCGACGTTCAAGAATGAGCTTCTCAAATATCAATTCAACAGTTTTGCGGAAATTTTCATTACGCTTGACGGATTGCTTAATACATTGAAATACATCAATACATTGAGAATATAAATTGTAGAAAAGTGAAAGTGCGAAATAGTTTAAAAAAAATATATAGGTAATTTTAAATAGTAAATTATAATTAAAATTACATTCTTTACATATCACTGATTCATTTTATCTCATGGCCAGTTGTTGCGGTGATACCTTGGGATTGTACATGCACCTTTTTTAAAGAGCTACTTTTATACAACAGACTTTGTCTGAGGAAAAAATTTCTATTTTCAATTGTATAGTTAAAAAAAATTGTTTTGCATTTTTCAAAAAAACGATTGATACTTAAAAATAGGACTAGCGCGATAGTTCTTATTTTTCCTTTCTACATAACTGGAGAAAATTTAAAGGAAAAATTTGGAGCCTTCTTTTGAAAATGCCGGAAGGACTTCATGTAAAGAACAATCTCGGTTTCAATTTCCAGGGGGAACGACATCAGGCAGATCGAATGGGAAACATCAATTTTGGAGAAAATCAACAGAACCGTTAATTAATTTTTGTGTCGAAAATTCGCCGTTTTCCTGCGCACGATTACAATACTTTCTCTTCTTACGTTGGTATGTGCGAGAAAGTAAAAATACGGGACGTTACTCACTAAAAGGGACCAACACGGGACGTCTGTTCACCTTATGTCAACTGATGGCCGATACCCATATAGGGAGCACGCTATTTTAAATTTCACAGCAGCGCAGTAATTTTTTCTCTGCCAAAGACCTTGTAGGAGCTGGCAACGTGGTTCTGAAGTGTTTAGTCTTTCGTCTCACTCACCACCAGATCACTGCCACTTCTTCAAACCAAATGTTGAACGGATTGTAAGTGGAAATGCAGGTTGAATTGAATGAGCGTACACTGTACTGTACTTTTTATAACATGCGCCTTCTCATGTAGTTTAGTGTTTGTTGCAATAAAAACGTAACACACACACACACACACACACACACAAATATATTTTCTTCAATTTGAATATGCCGCGCTTCCCATGCATGATTCCTAAGCATGGGAAGCGCGGCATATTCAAATTGAAGAAAATATGCTTAGCGCATAGTTCGACCAAGGACCGCTAGATGGAATGAGTAGTACGATCATTAGAAGACGTTTAGATAGGCACGCGTACACAAAGAAAGTTTATGAGAAGGATGTATTGTAATTAAAATAAGTGGTGTACATAGGGAAGCGGTAGTAGTAAGCTTGAATACAGGAATAATAAGCAAACATGTGAAAACATTCAATAAATGTGTGTTGTAAAAAGTACAGTACAGTGTACGCTCATTCAATTCAACCCGCATTTCCACTTGCAATCCGTTCAACATTTGGTTTGAAGAAGTGGCAGTGATCGGGTGGTGAGTGAGACGAAAGACTAAACACTTCAGAACCACGTTGCCAGCTCCTGCAATGTCCTTGGCAGAGAAAAAATAACTGCGTTGCTGTGAAATTTACAATAGCGTGCACCCTATGGGACCCCTGTACATGTATATATTATACATACAACCATTAGTTCCTTAGCTGTGAGATGAAACAAAGCTAGGTGTGGTGATTTGAACACGTCACGCTCGCAATATATCCCCTTTATCACCAGACGTGGGTAATCAAAACAAAAGTCCCAGAATTAGCCATTCAGCTAGCTGGCAAACGTCGCTCTAATCCGACTCTGAAATATCAAATACACAAGTTAGTTACTTTTCTACTTGAAAAAGTATTAGGTGAAACCTTTCAAAGATTCCGCATTTTGCAGACAAACGTTTCTAAAGCGAAAATTGCTTTATACTGAATCGTAACTTGGAAATACCATCCCTTAAACTGTTTAGTTTAGGTTAACTGTTTAGTTAAACTGTTTTAGAGCATTTTATTGCCGGAAGTGTGTCAGTGTGTTCAATTGATCGCCTGATGATTCCGGGTGCGTCAACGGCTACGATTATTAGTCCGGTAAGTGTAGTGCATGTTTGCCTCGGGATGTGGCGATGATCTTCCGACGCTGGATGGTGAAATCCGGCGGTGAACTCTCGTGGGCTTGCGGGGGTTTTCCTTATCAGGTATCTCCCGTAGCATTGCACTGCCCCAGCCGGGACAAGCTCTAAGCTCCCGACCGGTCTCTCGGTATGTGTGGTAGTGTACAGCATGTACGTGTGTGTGTATGTGTGTCTATGTGTGTATGTGTGTGTACGTGTGTGTATGTGTGTATGTGTGTATGTGTGTGTATGTGTGTGTATGTGTGTC